TAACTGTAAGTCATGGCTATATATTGAATATAATTTAATAACTTTATTAACTTTACATTAGATATGCATTTGGATATGACTCGTCTGTGATGCTTCATCGGTAAAAAAAGCAATGACTCCAATGAAGAAAGCAAAATGTAATTTGCTTAATCTAGAAAAAAAACAACATATCGTTCCTCCGAAATATATTCTTCTTCTTAATATGTTTATATCATGGCCTGTTTTTACGCCAGCGATATAATAATAATAATAAATTAGGTTTGATTAAATAAGTAACAAGTTATTTTATCTATATTCCTTTATAACTACTTTCACCTGTATATATTTACTTTGTTACAGAACATCCGCCTGAAAATCAAGAAAACAGCTGCTTAACAAAGTTTGCTTGTACTAAAAATTGTGACAGTGGTTACAAGCGTGGAAAAGATGGTTGCCCTATTTGTGATTGTGTCCATGAGGAGGGTGCGTCTTTACCGCGCATGTGCTATGATTTTTATAAACCGGAAATTCAACTTAGACAACGAGGAGTTACTATTTTTGCTTAGGTTGTGTTAATGCTTTGCGTTTCTGGCCTGCTACCATTTCAAATGACAATTAAGTATTATTATTATTATTTTATATTCTATGCAGAGCGTACCTGATATATCTTAATGTGTCTTACCTAAATATATATTGCTTAATTAAGAAATTTACCTTGTTTTACTCATACCTTTCTAAACGATAAACCTAATTTTACACTTTTCCTTTCTAAACATCTGTGCAATAGAACAGTTGCGCTTGCGTGCAGATGTGTGATGGCAATTTTCGTCCAGGTTATTGTTGTGCAAACATTATACACACATCGTGCACACATCGTTCCGAAATCGTGTGCACATTGTGTAACATTGTATACTCCTACAATTGTTAATAAGGCAATTATAGTCCTTAGGCCCATTGCTACAATATACCATATAATGTACAGCTGTAGGTCTATGGATATGCTGTTTTGTGTAAAATCGTTTCCGCTGTGTTTGATTGTTGATGTATAATGTTTCCTTTCCGTCAATATTGGGAACATTATACTAAAAACAGTATTTGTCTTCCCAGAATGTCATCATTGTGAAAAGCCACGGCCTACACCAAAACCCGACCAGACCGCCGTTGTGGCGATCCTGCAGAAATGTCCGCAAACCGAGCAGTGTATGACGTCATGTAAATATGGGTATCATATGGGAAGTGCGGGTCAAGATGGATGTCCAACTTGTTCCTGTGTGGAGAAGGAGAGTAAGTTATTTTAGTTGCTGATCTTTTTTTCCTGACCTGTTTTATTCTACACCAATCTGATAACCAAGTTTGATCTAAGTCTTAACCATCGTCTATTGACAGTATGATAGTATTGGTAAGTGGAATGAAACTCGCTGCAAACATTTTGCTACTTAAGAAGTATGGTGGACACAAGTAGTATACATGGGTTTAGCAGTGACACAAGTAATGACAATACTATCATTTTGTCGTGTTACTGCACTTGTTGATATAATACTAAAACTATTTCGTTTCTAACAACCAGCGTGCCACGATTGTACAGAAAACCACCATACCATACAGATAGTACAGCCAGTCCACGTCCAAACCACGTCAACGGAACACTGTACGGAGTGTGGCACAGGTGCGTAACTATAGCCACTTTTTTATTATAAACCTTGTCAACGGAACATGGTACTGAGTGTGGCACAGGTACGTAAATACGGCCACTTCTTTCACAAACTACGCTAATAGTTCTTTGTATCGAGTATACAGCTAGTCTCGCAAGGTAAAAACCAAGTCGATGGAACACTGTTAAGACTGTGACACGGGTAAGTGGCAATAGCCAGTACTGGTACAAACCATGCATACTGAACATTGTAGATGAGGTGACGTCATCTATATAAGCATAAGCATGATTGTATATTGTACTAGATATGCCACCAATCTTGAACTCTGTATTTATTTGATGTCTTGAGTTGAGCTTTTCATGACCAACTCCCTCCAGATTGAAAACCACGTTTTCATTTCCGATACCTTACTTAATCATAGATAATTCAAGTAAGAGCGTTTGAAAATTTGAGTGCCAAAAACATTACATCATTGGATGTATAATGGTTTATTGCCTGAACGATTACTGTTGTTGAGCAGGTGGTCATCAGGCACAAATAGTGGTGACGTCACACGGCAGCAATGGCGGTGCTGCTGCCGGAGGCTCTACCGGCAGTCATGGTTCTGGTGGAGTGATGGGTGGAGGCGGAGGATTCGGTGGATCTGGAGCATTTGGTGGAGGTGGCAGTGGTGGTGGAAGTGAGTATATAATTAAAAACAATTATACTACATTCATCTCAATCAGTAGCAGGTTTTAGGCAAGGCAACATGCATTTGAATTATTTTGGATTCTGATTATCTCGTTTTGTATTCCTACCCTTAGGTCAGTGTCGCCCTCTAACGCCGGATTGTCATCCTTCTTGCATAGTGTATGATGTGGCACACTGCCGACAGTGTCGTTGTAAGTATCATTATATATCATTATAATCCAAGTTTATAACGTCCATGGATATTTCAATGTTGAAAAATATACATAAATTTATGTATGAAATCATAGTACATGTAATTTGACTGTAAAGTCATTAAATTGAGTGGGTTTTTTTTCATTTCGAATGCTATCCACGGTACTCCACGAGTTCACCAATACTAACATAATAAATAAAACGAAATCAAAACATGAGACAAAAAAGAATTTGTACAAATCACAGAATGATTAGACCATGTGTTCTAGAGAGGTAAGTGCCTTCATTTTCACCGAAGGCATCCAATATAGTAATCCAAACGAGTAATGTTATGCTCATGATGACAATAACAAAAATAGCATATCGATGTAATTAGTGAACCGCTATATCCTCAAAACTAGATAACAAGACGACCTCGAAAATATTTCTGAAGAAATACGCATAGAGTTTCCTACATAAGAAAAAAAGTTTGGTTTTTACTATTTAAGAATGTCTATCGAGTGTTATTTTTGAACTTTTACGGTATGCGTCATTGAATCTTAGATTTTATTAATTTCCGTTATTTTTACTTTTAGGTCATTCCAGTCCTATGCATTAATTGTGTTGCTGGCTTCCTTTACTACACTACGACGTTAACATTTAATAAATTTGGAAATGTTGATTGGTTAATTCGTGCACCATTACCACTATTTCATGTCGTTAACAACGGTTTCCGTAATAAAACATTAACAATAAGTATTTTCAATTGTTGAAGTTTCTAATTGTGTATTCCAGACGTCTTCAAAAAGTTCGAATTTTATAAGGATCTTTTCATATATGTGAATTAAGAGCTGTTTGCTTAACTTAAACTTATGGGAATTTATCGCTAAACATTGACATGTCCGTAACCAAATATGTGTTTGTTTGCGGTTAAGGTCCTTATGATAACAAGGGTCATAGAGGGACCAAAATCACTGATAATGGGTTACTTTCCTACAAATGTAAATTGCAATGGAACTGAAGTGTCAAAACCTGGCCACTAATGCATGATATCATTATAAGAAACGCCTGTAAGTTTGTATCATCGTGGTGTGTTAGTCCACACTCGTTGAACATTTTATTGGTTATACATTCTGGGAAACCCTATATTTCCGTTTGAATTAGTTTTCGAGGTTTTCTCGAAAATGGTAATGACAAGAAATAACTTCCATGGACACAGTACAACTTTGAATTCAGAAAACAGACGAAAATAGCGAAATAAAATACCTCGCGAAAATTAAGAATTTTACAGTAAAGTTATATTATTTGTTGACACTTTTGAAGTACTGTTGAGACATAAAAAGAAGCCATTTTGACAGAATCTGCTGCCAATGTGCACGTGTAATGAAATATATAGTCAGAGATGCAATATTTACCATATATCCAAAAGTTATAGCACAAACACAGGTAAAAGAGTTTTACTTTATTTACACAGAATATATAATGATGTTATATGATCGTTGTCACTTCAATGTTGTCATGTAAAAATGTATGACTTACATTTAATTAATAAGTATTGTTAAAATGTTCCGGTTTGTTGAAGTAATATATTTCGTCTGATCCTGAATGCAAATCTATAATTGATGCTCATACATAATGTATGTTTCTTAAACACGTCATTCTAAAGCACGGAAAGCGTCACATCCTTGAAACATACATATGTTTTCAGTGAAATTATTTAAGCGTTTTTCGCACTGAAAAGTAATCCACTAATTGTCGCGTCTACTACACATTGTTTTGGCTATATAACATAGATGCGTAAATTCATTATTGCGCATATGTACCTGACAATGATGATACGATAAAATGTGATTGTAGTAAAATAAATACATTTACAGCAGCTAACCATCCTTCAAATATATGTGCATTTTTTGCGTTGGGATGGTGTGTGCTCCTTTAAAATCGCAATTCAAAAAGTTTGGTTTCGTAAATATCGCTGTATTCTTCCCCCTTTTTATCACTTTTCACCTAAAAAAGTAGAAAATGAATTCATAGATTGAAGGACAGTTAACAGAAAACATCAGCAATTGACATCCTTATTTTTTTATTTTATCCATTTATTGATAAAACTATTGTTTAGATTTGCTTTTTTTCACATTATGAACCACAGACTACTTAATCAAGTAATTTAACTCACGAATCAATGTTCTGTACAAGTCCTTATCGTATCAGATTGGTAATAGTTACAACAAATATAAAAAGGAAGACTTGGGACGATATGTTGTCCACTGTGTGGAACCTATTTGGAAGCATATATTTTAATTTCCATGTTTATTAATACTGTCTCATGAACACGTGTTTCCGTGAATAGTTATATCTCTATGAACCTACTAACACAATTTGTAGCATGTTTGTGGACATATCAATTCGTTAGGTTAAGAGTAACAAAGAAATGAATTAGATCAAATATCCTAAGAATATTAATCACTTTTAAAAGTAGTATTTCCTAATCATGTTGATTATTTGAGCTTACCCACTCATGAAGTTCCTTGGATCACCTTGAGGTAAAAATCCACGGTTAAGTGTTGGTCCAGTCCCACTTCCGAAACGTTGTTGGTTTGGTCCTGGACCGAAGCCTTGGTTTGGTGGACCCATGGGCACTAAAACATCAGACACATAAACTCACTCACCTTATTTACTTAAAAGGATGTTTCGAAATTGCAAAAACAATCGAGAACTCGAAAATAAAACTAATCGGAAATGGTTTATTTCGAGACTTCAGTTAACAATATCATGTTATTTACTTGAAGGTTTTAGTGAGACTACGAAAACCTGAACCATCGATTAAGCTTCCATGTATTCTGTTACAATAAAACGTACGAGGATTGGAATTGATCAGAGAAAATACCTCCTCTTATGTGTTCTATGGACAAGTTAACAAAAAGATTAGAAAATACGGAAGAGAAACTTAATTCAGTCTAACAGTCAATTAAACAAGGACAAAATGTAAGCAAATGAAAAGTTTAAACGGGTTGTATAAGGACAACAACCGTCATATCACGTTGATATACACATGATTTTAACGTTTTTGTAAATTTATCAGAGATAGGACTCTTACGACATTTACTAATCATGAGGCTAGTGCACCTCCGAATCTACATTTTGATGTTCTTTCGATCACTTTGGATTACCTCTGTCGCCTCCGAAGTTGAAGTGTAGGTCCCTAGCATTACTAAAGAGTCCTAGATGGACGAAACAGCTGCTTGATGAATTTAATTCTATCTAAACTTGTATTAAAAAGTTTTATTCACTTGTATGTCTGTAGAGTCTATGAATATAACTATATGAATCAATGATTTAAAGATAGATGTAAAATCATACTTGAATGCTGTAGCGGTACCGGCGATTCAAACTGTGGCAACATAGATCCTGCAAAGGAATTCATCATGTTCATTGGTGATGGATGTTGCATCATATCCGGCATTTTACCACTTCCTTTTAAATGTGGATACGGTTCCGCCTGGTGAGGAAAATCCATAGGATGTGAGAATCTCTCTTTGTCATTGGAGTTTGGTTGCAAAGAATTTTTTCCTGATTTTACAAAGTCTTTTTCTCGCATTGGGTTTTCATGTAAACTGCTCTTAGCTTTTACAATTTCTCCGAATATACTTTGAAATGGGGTCAGTTGCTCATTATCGACTATACTACTTCCCGTTTTCCGAGATGGAGATGAATGTGACTCGGTCTTTGTTTCCGTTTTATGTTTTCTACTACGCTTCTGCTCAACAATGATTTTGTTAGTATCACCAGGACTCTTGAATAAGTGATCGCCTAATGGTCGATGGTCATTTCCGGTGAAAGTCTCGCCAGCTTCAGTTATAAGTTTCTCGATAATGCTACTTGCTGCAGTCAAAGTAGTAACGGAAGTTTTCAGTAAATCTTTAGCCAGCTTTAGTTTCATTCCCATCACCTTCATATCATCAGCATTGTGTACATCCGGTACAAACGATGCCTTAGAAGATCTGGATTTTGAAGCCGAATCTATTCAGAACATCAAACGAAGACGATCAATAATAACAAATATTTATTAGAAATAACTGATATTTTTCTGTATGGACGTTAAATCTTATTAATAAAATCTGTCTAGGCTAACTGTTAACAGTAAACACTTTTATGAATCATTCGTTCAAAAGATTTCGTTTCTGATCGTTTCCATATATATATAGAGAGAGATATAGTAAAAACTATGACAGTTTGAGGCATGAGAACATTTTATCTGATGCCCACTTTTAAGAAATTCAAATGCATTATAGAATTTCAAGGTTCTTTTTTCAAGAAGGATTTTTCAAAGAATTTAAATGAGTTTCCATAACATATGACTTATTTAAAATTAAAATATCTAGCCTACATACCAAGAAACGATTTCGATGTTTTAGATGTAGAATGACCGTGTCCTGATTCTGAGTGTCCTTGATCTGTATGACCTATAAAACCAACCATGTGTAAAGATTAATAAAAGATAAACAACATTGAATAACTAGTCCAAAACCTACCTCTCAACCACCTTGCTTCTTTACGAAGTGTTATACACTCTGGAAAAAAGCAAGTTTAGCCCTTAGAAACTTCTCTTATTCCTTTCGAATTTAGTCATTAATTATAGTGACTAATAATTCGTCAATACACCAGGAATCAAGAAATTGATGCATGATACAAGTTAACGAACGATATTTTCTAGAACCAATAGAGCACAAATCCAACGTATACGATGCTGCTGTATCTATTTACAAAGGTATCTATAAATAGTAACAGACAGTATTTGATTTTATACTAAATGACAAAAATGGTGATGGATAAATCCAGTGTACCAAAGTTTTAAAAGATATTAATCTTCATAATGTTTTGGTAATTTGTGTTTATCAATATTCTAGTTTAAACCTATCTGCTTCTGTAGTATTATAAGTGCTCAATGGAAAAAAAGTATCGCTCCTACCTGTTGAGGAGATGGGAGTTCCAAGATTAGGGATGCCGATCAAATGTGCCATTATGTCAGCTATGGAGCTCTGCGCAGTCAATCGGCCTAGTAATAAAATAAGAAACATCAGAAGTAGAAATTAAGATATTGGAACTATAATTACAATAACAACGAATATCGACATGTAAACAAACTTCAGGCCCACAATCGATAAACTGAAGACACAGTTAAAACATAAGAGAATAAACATGAAAATGAGAAGATAAAAAACAAGACTGTAATATTTCTCTTTCATTGACATCATCCTCAACGTTACCCCTGGTCTAACGAAGTTAGAAATAACAACATTTATATTTATCAAATAACCAAACTTACTAAGGAACGTCAGAAATAACTCTTCAAGGTTTAAAATTCCAAGCCCTGAGGAGTCATAAAAAGATGGGAAAGCTGTATGAAGCCATTAACTTTATCGTCTGGTTCTATGGTTTATAGCTCTAAATGAAGCAGTCTTCGTATCGGTATTTTACTTGTAGAATACGCTCATCGTGTTTTATATGAAAAAAAGCTCATGTACGTACAGAAAAAGATGCGAAGCTTAAACCGAGATTAAAGCTCTGGAAACGCCCATTTGTTAATGAAAGAATGCAAATGATTGAGCCGCGACATATAGCAAAGTTTTTAAAGACAGCTAATTGCACGCCTTGCTTAATAAAGATAACAGGTGTTTTCGAAAGCTCGCACAAATACGGTTATCAACTTGTATTTGTACTTAAGATATTACCATGGCCTTTAACTTATCCCCTGTGTAGATCAAGTGATTTTTTATTATTATTTGAAGATGAAAATGTACAATCAATCAATATAAATATTGGCATAGGAATATATCTCACAGGCAAAAAGTGACATTATCGGAAATCAGTGCTGAAGTAATTCAGATATAGCAGCATACAGAATAAATCACGATTAGTTACATACAAAAAGTCTAAAGGCAATAGTATACGATAAACAAACGGTTCTGTAAGTATTCTTACCCTTAGGTGGCTTAGTATTGGCCGTTCTGAGATCAGAAGTAAGATGTCCCTGATCGATATGACTAGATTTCGATAATTGTGATTTTTCGTTGTGATTCCCCATTGGAAAAGGTATGTCTGAAAAAGGTAATTTGTTATACCTGTACAAATTTCTACCGTTTTTGTTTTGTTTTGTTTTGTTTTTAATATGAAACTTTACCACAGTCGTGAAAAAAATGCTTGTTATTTGTTCCGATGGTTTTTTATGTGTGGAAATTTTTTTTTAAAAAATATGTCTTTGTAATCTGACATAATCATAATAATATAGATCACTATGATAAAGATTATATTTCTGCAGTTGTAGTCAACGTACAGCACACAACAATATTCATGATATGATTTCATCTATTTATTTTTAAATACGCGTTTGTTCAAATTCAAATATCTGAAATTATACTGATGAGGTTTTGTTATAGAATATTGATAAATAGCAATTGTTTCTATCTAACGCTTGCTTACTTGTCGAAAAGAGCTAGTTGATACTATATCATACAATCTTTGAATGATATTTTAACAATAAAAAAAATTCTTTGCTTTAATAAATCGAGTCAACCAAATGCTAAAAATAATACAATGTTATCATAAAATCAGATAACATATCAATTACGAAAGAAATTTCGGATAAAAAAAATGAACAAAATAAACAAACAAAAACAAAGAACACAAATCATGGGAGTTTATCTTATCTGAATTTTAATACATTAATATCCAGAAATAAGTAAATTTTACATGAATACTGAGTTAATTTTCTTATTTGTTCATGACATCAAGTGTTCAAGAATATAACGTCTGTGTAAGGGACCCCACACAATTTAAGTCTAAAGAACAGATTTTTATATAACGATATTGGAATTATCATTGAACTCCGTGAATATCTAAAATTTAATTAAGTTACCCTAAATGTTGATATATTTACATCTACAACTCTTTCACTAGTACTTGTGGTTGTTAAAATTATCAAATGTATTTCACAATTACGAAAGTTATTATACTATATGGATAGTGCACCTGTCCGTCTACATTTTTATTTTCTTGCGATCTCATCTGGTTTCCATCAGTCGCCTAAACGACTTAACAATGTTCGAGTCCTAAAAGGACGAAACAGCTCATTGGTGCAGTTTAATCCAATTTTCTGACTCTACTGTATCTAATTGTAAATATAAAGGTACATACAATACTGACTTGCGTGCTTTTTGTACAATCTTAAAAATAACAACCATTTGGGAATATGACCAAATACATATGTCTGCTAGTTATTTCATATGGTTTGAACGAAATGTTGTGGTCACAATTGCATAGTCTTACCGCGGTTATCATGTTCAGTGGTCAATCCATGCATGAACTTGGCCAACAGAGGTGTAAAATCCGACAAACCGTTTGGACTTTCTGCTTTTTCTTTTAACGACTTCATCATCCTTTCCATCATTGTGAAACTAGCAACTTCCGGTTTCGTTTCGGCAAGTCCTTATAGAAATAAAATGTTAGCAATATATACATACCATATATGTATACATGTCTAAAAGTTATTTTGGTAAGTTACAACATAATAGTGTAGCAACAGGTTTGTTAATTGTCCGTATAATGTGACCGTATGTTATGTTCTGCTGGGACTTCTGGGCAGTATATTTCAGCCAGGTAGCACTATAATTTCGATTTCAATTCCTCACTTTCATTAGAGAGCTAACACAAATAGATATCAACATCTCGAAAACACATGCGCTTACCTGGTATATATAGGAAAACTGTCCTTAAACGACCATTGATGTGATAATAGGTAAAGTTACACAAAACAAAAACTAAGCCAGACTAAATCAGCTGAAAAATATTTGCTGGATATTGCTTGCAGATTTAGTAATACAAATGTTAGTCTGCAAACATTACAAAAATATGGAACACATTTAGAAAAACAATAAAGAAAATACCAGTATATCATCGAAATCATATTTTAAACTCAGATTCAATAAAACTGAGCAAACCATAAATAAAAGACACTAATACTAGTATATATAGTGATATGTATATCGTTATATATCTTGTAACAAACGTTCCCTGTTTACAGTATCTGAACATATTTGTTTTTACTCGAAACGATTGAAACAACAATGTAACCGTGCTATTATAGAATATTGCATGTAAATCGTGGAAAGCCTAGATTCTGATACAACACCACATACCGTTATTAAGGTTGGTTTTAGTGGAGTCCAATGGAGTGATAACGCCAACTGAAAGATATTCAAAATTAAATGGTTTGTATTAATTCTGTACGAATAATATATAATCTTATTTCTGCAATATAGGTAAAATATTTTTGTTACTGATATTGTTATTAATAAGCTGTTTACCTTCAGGCTTAGCGATTGCTGTCACAAAACTGACGCTGACATCTGAAAATAAAAACAAAAACAAACCTTATTATAGCCAATGTAAATGAGCCAAGTTAAGAGTTCATTATTGTTTCTTGTGAAATAAACAAAATAATTGATTTGTAAATCATTAATTGTTCTTTATATGTATAACATCCAGAAACTGTAATTAGCACAATGATATTTCAGTCAAAATGTATAACACAAAGACGCAATAAATTGAAATAACCGCGAATATGTTTATGCTTACAGTAATGTGATTATTTACAGGACGGATACTCTCATATATAAACTTCTAAAACTAACTAAATTAAATTCAAATTAACAACAGGCTACGTTTTACGTGATGGTCTATTACAATCATGATAAAAAGTAATGGTTGAAGTTTTTTTCAGTTTGATATTTAATTTCTGCTCGTCAATGGACAACAACCTAATCTTAAACATTTGATGCGTTTAACGATCCAGATGAAGGAACACATAACTAGAATTATGTATGTGTGAATGACATTAAATCTCATAAAAATAAAACTGTTTCTCGAAGATCATTACTCCGT